ATTTTAGACCAAGCTAAATCCAAAAATGCGAGGGAATTCCTGGAAGCGTGGTATTCAGACAAGGCAGCCATCAACAGGCACACAGAGACAAACAACATCTACACACTATTCAAAAGAGACAATAAAAGGAAACAAAAGACCAGAACATCTCCTCACCAGCAATCATCACCCAGACAATCAGAGATTAACACCAAGATTATCACCAGACATACAATTAAGGGGTAAATAATACCCTTGGAAACACCCCCACCAACACTGGCCACTGTATATAAACAGACAGCAAACCCCACTCCATTCTAGCACTGAAGATGTAACCTAGCCAAGTAACGAAAGATTTGCAAGAAAACAACCAAGTACAGAGAACCACAAGGACTCCTCAGTTTATACCCTGACACATGTAACTTTAAGGCCAGTTCATCATTGTTCACTTCAGGTGTAGCTTAGTATGGAAATTTTTTACATCCTGTAGATGCCTTAGTATTCATAAAAGTAGATGAAGGTAGTGGGGACCAGGAAGTATAATCACACATATGTACCTCTCACTTTTCCTCGCCTGCAAGGTCCCAATGAAGACAAGATGGCTGATTCTCCATAGCATTCAAAGTGAAACAAAGGCTTCCAGATCAGAATTGCCATAATAGATGGCTTTAACCCTCTCCTGTAATGCTAATAAAGATGAGTCTTACCTAACTACTAAAAGTGATTGCCCATCTTTCAAGTGATATTTGGTCAGTAGTTGGATGAGTAAAGTAGAAATGGATCCTCAGGGATTCTGTATATGGACAGAGAACAACCACAAGGCTGCATGAAGCCCTCAAATTTCCTATACAAGAATGATAATGTTAAAATATAGAGTATTTAATACCTTTTAAATACTTCATTTAGATAAAGTATTTTTAGGGAAACATTTTTAGTAGGTGTATGCTGCAAAAAACTATTTTCTTTGACCATATGTGGAGATTAAAGATATGGGACCGATTTAAAGAAATTTAGTTCCCTTCCTATTGTGTATGTATGCATTGTTTGGAATCATATAGTTTAATTGTTGGATTTACTCATTTCATTTTTGTTGAGAAAGATTTGAAAATTGCTAAAAAATTGTGAGATTGCTGTATTAACATTTTTGTTTGTATTCTAGTAAGCTTTGTTGACAGAATGTGCTCCCTAAATATACATTGTCCCCTTCTTTGAATTGGTGAATGAGACTAATAAAAAATGGACTTTTGTTGACTATTATTTATTATTATTTTTAGGACCCTGGACCACCACCTCCATCACCATTGATGGGCCTAAAGCCGTTGCAGTTACTAGAGATCAGAGCTAGAGGAAGGTTTGGCTGTGTCTGGAAAGCTCAGTTGTTAAATGAATATGTTGCTGTGAAAATATTTCCAGTGCAGGTATATTACACGAACAACCAAGTTTTGTACTATGAAAGACAGTTTTTTATGTTTTTAAAAATACTGATAGAACAAGGAAATCAGGTGATATCTGACATCATGCCTAAAATCTCATATGATTGCTTAATAAAACATGTCAGTAGTTCTGAGACCAAGTTAAATGTGAGAGGAAATAAAAGACATCCTTAATGAATCCAGTGAGACATCTTGATGGGTGAAGAAATAATTCCATTTGTAATAACTCAGACTGTGGGATTTAAATACTAATAAAACCCCTTTTTAATCAAAATATGTTCAAATCAGATTATTTGGTTACAGTCCCAGACTGATACAGGTAGTCCTCACTTACCAACCATTCATTCAGCATCCATTCAAAGTTACAATGGTATTGAAAAAATAACTTCACAGCCCATTTATGACCTTTGCAGCCTCCCTCAGTCACGTGATCCCTCAGTCACGTGATCGCCATTACAGTCAGTACTCACAGTTAGTATGCCTTGTCCTATGCCTAACCTGTGGTTTTTTCTTTCTTCCCCCCTTGCAGAGCAGAGAGGTTAGAAAAAAGGATTGCAAGAAAGTAAGCTATTTGCTCTTGTACACATCGAAAGCAATGTGATTGTGCTGGCACTGGGAAAAGGTCAGGCAAGG